TTTGGGGGGAACCCAAAAAGTGGATAAACATGATTTAAAAAATGATATTTTTCATTTAAAACCACTCATACGATATATTGGATTTGACCATGCTGGTTCATAAGGGGGAATTATTAATGAAGAATTGCAATTTTCGATCCAAACGCATTAAATGAAATAAACCCATACCAATTCAAATATCATAAATAAATTAGCACAAGAAATAACTTTTGATAAGGGTACATAATAATCTCATATCTTTTAAAATAATATAAATGTATATGAAAAAAGGTTTGTAATAATTTTTATGATTGGGTCTTTAGGAAGTGATCTAAAAAGGAGAAGTAAACATATTTTAATATTGAATCACTTCGATAAAGGGATTAGAATCATGCCTTTTTTTTATATTTCCATTTATTATGATTTCTTTCTTAAAATGGTTATCTTTATTGTTTGTTTAACGAATGTTGTATATTTTAAATCCATTTATTAGATATATATTTAAAAAGTAAATTTTCATCAACATTATGACTCTTCTTCTACTATAACATTTATAATTGCAAATGGAAGATGATTCTAAAAATAATTGTTAATCCTAAAAAAAAATTGAATGTATAAAAAAATTTTTTATATACTGTTATTACCACACTTTAATAATTAATTATTACAAAATAATGAAAATCGTTTTTAAAATAATTGCATAATGTTTTCCTAATTTGTTTTGAAAAGACAAAAAGTGTTAACAATTCGCTATCCAATCTGCTATCTCCTCCTCTAAAATAAAAAAATTAAATTGTTTTAGGATCATTGATGTTGGAAGGTTGAGTATTTAACCTACCGATAAATTTAAAGTCTTAATAATTATTATGTTTAGAAAGGATATTCAGTTTTTAATATTGATAATCCAATTAGTTGATGGATTTAGGAGATTCGAGAATGATTTTGATGCCACTGGTTTCTCGGTTGAATGTCCTTCTGGATATTATCATGCACCTGGAATGCATCCTCATCCTTGTGTTTGTAATTTAATAATTTGGATTTAGCCTATTCCCTTATTTGTAGATAAGTCACCAAGCTTTAAATGATCGTATATTCAGGAGTTGAAAAGCTATGCCATCCCAGAGCATAATTAGAATCTCCAGGGTCTAATTTGTATCTTCCGAAAGTAAAATTTTGTTTGAACAAAACCTTAATTTACAATTATTCAGAGGATACTGATTTAAAAATTTCATGTGAAATTGCCTCTAACTAATGTTTAATAGCTTAAAGGTCTGGAGACAAACTTAAATGCTTATATTGTCCAGCAAATTATTAAGGTGAAAATTGTTTGCCAAAGGTTTTAAACTGTGGATCTAATTGTGGAAGTTGTGAATCAAATTATTGTGGAACATGTAAGGAAGGGTATTCTCCCGATAGCAGTACAGATTTATATTGTCGTTTAGGTAAATATATATTAGATATACAAGCCTGCTAACCAAAACATTCGAGCTGTTCAAAAGAAAATGGTGTGTACTCATTTTAAGGTTGTATCAAAGGCTACGAGCTGGTTGGTAGTTAATGCTTAGGTATAAATAATGTAAGTATCGAAGCATGCCCGTTAAATTGTACTTAATGTGTCACTGGTGTTTGTATGGAGTGTGTATTTCAGTATTCTTTAAAGGACGGTTAATGCTTTGGAGATATCAATTGCACTAGATTTGATTATAATTATGATCCTAATACTGGTTTAGCTGTTGGTATAACTTGTTAATAATGTGACCTCACATATTTTTATAATCCAAATCAGCAAAAATGCACTCGTAATATATTTTAATTATTTTAAGTCTGTAAAGAGCAGCCTGATTTGAAAAATTGTTTCATTTGTTTTAATGCGACAGAATGCAAGGTTTGCTATGGAACACACGTAATAACTGCTGATAAGAAATGCACACCATTTCTTGGTTGCTCACCAAACTGTTAAACTTGCCTTTATACTGATCCTGACTACTGTACAACTTGCAATTTGGGCAACAAATTTAAAAGTTCAAATATTGAACCTGGAAAATGTGTATGTGATTCTCCAAATGGTTACGTTGATAAGGACGGTTATTGCGTAAAATGTACAGTTGGGTCATGTTAAACTTGCGGTAAAGATTATTATGAATGCACATCTTGTAAAACAGTGACAAACAGAATGGTTTTGGATACCTAATGCGTTTGTAAATAAGGATATTACGAGACAGGCTTGGAAGATTAAATATGCTAAAGTATGTTTAAATCTTGATTAGAATGCTATGAATATTGTTATAATTGTAAAGGACCTGAGATTGATGATTGTACAGAATGTGGAGATCAGAGTATCTATCATAAATACTATGAGAATGGATAATGTTTTTGCGAAGAAGGAAAATAGTTAATTTTACTATCTGATGGAAATAGCACTTGCATATGTAATCGTATTAATCATTTAATTAGTTTGTCATCCTTTATGCTAAAAATGTTCTAAGCCCGTTGATGATTCAACAAATTAATATTGTACGATGTGCATCTAAGGCCAACATAGAGAAGTATCTTACCTTAGCAAATGTGTTTGTTAAGCTGGATATGGAAGTGATGGAACTATAGATATTTGTGTTAGTACCTAATTTGAATATAATAATAGAGTGCCATTATTCATGTACGACTTGTAAAGGGCCACTTGAAACTGATTGTACATACTGTTCAAATTATGCCCATAGATAAATGACAATCGACAATAAATGTTCTTGCAAGTCATCCTATTATGATTCTGGTTTATAGGATATAATTTGTAAGTGTAAACACTATTTTTCTATTTTATATTAGTTTCTTGTCATCATTCTTGTTCAAATTGTACTGTTAAAGGAGTAGATAAATGCACTTCTTGTCCTTCAACTAGGTATGCTATTTAAGCTGGGACTACATTTTAATGTCAATGCAAATATTCAAATTATTATAGTGATCCACTCTTTTTAGAATGTTAGCCATGCCATCCAACATGCAAAACTTGTAAAGGCATTTTAGAAACTAATTGTCTAACTTGCGATACTACTTATAGAGAATTGGTTATTTCAAAATGTGATTGTTATCCTGGGTTTTACAATACAGGCAGCATACAGTGTTCATGTGATATATTAATACTTATTAGTAGAGTGTCATTTTACCTGTCTATCATGTTTTTCTTCGGATGAAGATGGTTGTATCACTTGTTCTTCGGAAAAAAACAGAGTTATGAAAGCAAATAAATGTGTCTGTATGAATAATACAATGTAATAATCAAATACCGATTCAATGTGTTAAAGTTAGTTTTCCATCTTAACTTAGAATGCTCATATCGTTGTTCAAATTGCGCTGTAAAGCCTGAGAATTGCACAACATGTCCTGAGTATTCGGAGCGTGAATTAGGGACAGATAATTCTTGTTAATGTCCAGCTTATTTTTATGATTAACCTGACAACCCCATTTGCATAAGTATATTTTAAGTGTAATTTTAGAGTGTCATAGTACTTGTTTAACATGTCAAGGGTCAAAAAGTAATTAATGTACGTCTTGTGTTCCTCTAAGCAAAAGACAATTAAACTCTTTTGGTGAATGCAAATGCCCAACTTCATATTTTGATATAGGGCTACAAGAATGCTTCAGTATATACTAATCATTATATTAATAGTCTGTAGCAGCGATTGTCTAGAATGTTCTATTACTGCTACCAATTGTACATCTTGTAGTCCAGAGAGATATTAACTTGGAAACAGTTGTTTATGCAAAACAAAACTTTAAGGAAACTATCTAACTACATATTCAGCGCCATTGAAAAGTCGTTGTTAAAGTAAATTAAGTAAATTTATTCTCAGTCTGCCATTACAGTTGTCTATCATGCAATGGTCCATAAGTAAATTAATGTTTGTCTTGTTTGAACTCAGAATCAAGAATTTTAATTTCTACAAGTTGTATATGCACAGAAAATACCTTTGATATCAATGTCCCTAATTGTCAAAGTAATTTATTCCTTCATCATAGTTAAGAATGTGATTATCGATGTGAAGGATGTACAACATTACGTACTCAATGTAATGCTTGCCCTTCATCAAGCTTGAGGATATTTAATCCTCTAATCTCTTCTTGCGATTGCCCTATTTAATATTATGATGATGGAGTTAATACTATTTGTTAAAGTAATATTTTATAATAGCATTAGAATGTCACTACTCTTGTTTGACCTGTAAAATTACTTCGACTAGGTGTAATTCTTGTTAAGCTAATGTATATCGAACTTACAATGCTTTTTTATAATCTTGCCTTTGTAATGATCATTATTATGACTCTGGAATTCTTATTTGTCAATAATGTCATTATTCTTGTCTACTATGTAATGCTTCAGGGGATCATTAATGTATAAGTTGCTAACCATAAGCAACATCATTTAGAATATTGAATGGGAAAGTCTGCGAAATGCCTCCGGTGGATATTATGACGATGGATTTACTCCAAATTGTTAAAAATGCTTTTATAAATGTTTAAGCTGCATTACTTCATAAACTTAATGCACATCTTGTGTATTAACAAGGCAATTATATCAAAATCAATGCCTATGTGATCCTGGCTATTTTGATAGTGGTTTAAGTAATTGTAGTAAATGTGATTCTAATTGTTACAATTGTAATTTCAATTCGAAATTTTGTACAGCGTGTGATTCGAGTATATTAAGAATTTTGAACACTAATGATAATACTTGCTATTGTTAACCAGGCACAACCGAAATAGATGGATTATGCTAATACTGTGATATAAATTGTTAGACTTGCTCAAATAGCATAATAAATTGTATATCTTGTCGTCTATCGAAATTGCTAATTGATTCATAATGTATATGTATTGATGGAACTTATTTGTCGAACGTAGATGATAAATGTTATCCTTGTAATTCTACCTGTGAAACTTGTGATGGACTAGATACATTTTGCTTGAGTTGTTCTTCAGATAAAAATAGAATTCTAAATAATACAAATCACACTTGTATTTGTATGGATGGATATTATGAAGATACAGTAAACGTCTCTTGTTTGTAGTGTGATAAAACATGCTTAACTTGTTTTGGGAATTCTTCAAATTGCAAATAATGTGATTCAAGTCTGAACTTAACACTGAATTAGTAAAATTTATGCATTTGCAAATCAGGTTACTTTTTTAATCTCGTTGCCTAATAATGTTAAGGTATTATTGATATTTAATCTAAGTTTGCCACTATAGTTGCACTGAATGCTAAACTTAAACTCAATGCTTAACTTGTGAATTAATAACTAGATATTTAGATAGTGATACATCATAATGCATTTGCAAGGATGGCTTTTACGAAATAAATCAAAATTCATGTTTAAGTAATAATTATGATTAAAATTATAGAATGTCAAAGTAGTTGTAAAACATGTTAAATTAAACCAAGTAAATGTTTAACTTGTAATACATCTAACTTTCGATATTTTTTAATGAATTCTTGCCCATGTCTTGATGGATTTTATGATGTTGGTATTGAAATGTGTCAAAAATGCAGTGAATTTTGTAAAACTTGCTCAATAAGCTCAACAAAATGTTAATCCTGTTTCCCAAATCATCTTCGCGCAGTAAATCAAAATAATTGTACTTGCATTCCTGGGTATTTTGATAGTGGATCATTAATATGTGAAAGTATTTCTAAGATATTAAATTAGAATGCTCAAATTCTTGTTAAACTTGTAAAAATCAAAAGGATTATTGTACTAGTTGTGATGTTAATTAAAATAGATTAGATTAATCTATTATTCACAAATGTCCTTGTCTTTCTGATTTTTATTTGGATTCTAATGAAATTTGCTAGAGTATTTTTTTATTATAATCAGAATGTCATGTTAAATGTTCTGGGTGTGTGAATGAAAGAAATAATTGCTAAGGGTGCAAATATCTCCAAGGTTCCAATAGATTAACTATTTCAAATTAATGTAATTGTAAAGATGGATATTATGATGATGATTTCTAAATTATTTGTAATAAATGCGATAATCGTTGCAAAACTTGTTAAAAAGGTGCAAAAAATTGCCTGAGTTGCTTTAGTAATGTAAGAATAAATCCACCTGATTGTCCATGTATGAAAGGCTACTTTGAAACTTCATAACAGGTTTGTGAAGGTAATTATTATTATTATTTACTAAGCTTGCGAATTTTAATGCGATACTTGCGAAACTATGCCCTCGAATTGCTTGACTTGTAAGGAAGGTCGTATAAACAAATTATGTGATTGCGAAGATGGGTATTTTGAAGGTGGCCAAATATTATGCATATGTATATATTGAATCAATATTTTAAGAATGCGACTTTTAATGTCAAAAATGCAAAAAGTCTTCGACTAATTGTCTGGCTTGTAAAGGTGATAGATTGTAAATTCCTTTCTGTCGATGTTAAGATGGATATTACGATGATTTTTACAGTTTCAATTGCTTGAAATGTGATTACACTTGTAAAACATGTTCTTCATAAGGATGTTTAAAATGTAATGGCAATCGAATTTTATCTGATCAAATGACTTGTGATCCACCTCCAAACTCAATTAGCTGGCTATTAACTCCTTGGTGCTCAAGTATAAACTTCATAAAATTATAGATTGCGAAGTAGCTGTAATGAAGATTAAATTATCAGATGACCTGGCAACAATAATTGTCCTATTTGATTTCCCCCTAAATCAAAACTTCTTTTCAACTTAACTTGATATCAACGCTTGCTTTAAACTCCTAAACGAGACTACTCTATCAAAATTAGGAATAAATCCAACATGTAATATAGATCCAGATAATCAAAAACAATTACTTTTGAATCTCGGTCACAACCCCACCATTATTCCAGGAGATAAAATTGATTTTTTGTCAGGTTCATTGGGTCACAAAAATTGCAATAATAAACTATTGCATTTCTTTTTAAATATAGTTGAAAATCCTACGAGTCCATTCGCTCCTATTATCAAATATGATGTACCTACTTATCTTCTTAAATCCTTGTGATGAGAACATTATTTTGATGGAATAAAAACTCTATTTGATGGTTTACGAAGTTTTATTTTCTTGTCATGGTCTTTTGTTGTGTAGGGGTAAAATGGAAATGGCGATCTTCCTAATTTCATTACTGAATTAACAAATTTCCAATAATTGGATCTAGCAATCCCAGAAAAAACATTACCAATCCAATCTAATATAACTTTAACTGTAGAAGTTCAAAACTTTCTTTTAAAGAAAACATCATATCAAATATTAATTCAAACACATGCAGGATAATTTCCCAGTATTTTTTCATAATTTAAACAGTAATATTTTCCTTTTGAATCTATAAATCTTGCTTTCAAATTAGTTAAGAAAAGTTGCATCGAAAGTTCAACACTATCAAATAACAATTCTCAATATTAAACTAAATTTTATGAAGTCTATAGGAATAACTCTAAATCTAGACCTTCAAACATCAATTATACTGATTTTGTTAATTCTAACTTATTGGAATTTAATATTCAAAGTTACTCATTAAGTTCTTGGACAGCTTATACATTTCAATTAACCGTTTCAGATTCTCAAATTTAATATTATTAAGAATAAAATGTAACTATTTAGATCAAATCTGCAGGAATCTTCTGCCAATTTAATGGAACAAAGAAATTGCTAAAATACAAAGATTTTACAAATATATACATCCAATGCAAGGATCTCGATGTTTAATATTATTGGAATGAAGATCCAGATTTGTTAATAAAAGTCAGTTGTTTAGATCTAACTTCACAAAAAGAATGTAAGGATTCTAAATAGAATAACATATAAATTAATTCTACTTAAACAACCTAGTTTTTTCCCAAAGCCACTTTTTTGCCATTCACAATATAAGCGTGGATTGTAATTGCAACAAAGAATTCGTTATCATATTCTTATAAAATAATTATCGTATATTTAGAGGATGATTTCAAAATTCTAGATATTGATTATAATAATGGATATTTAATAAGGCCTGTCAATAATTATGAAGATTTATAATTTACATTTAATATACCTTTTTAAAGAAGATAATACCTTTTACATTATTAAATCGCAATAATTTATGATTATTAATTAGTTGCAATACTTAAGCCCCAATATCACAAATATTCCTTTTAATTATATGATTATTATTAATAGTTTAGCAAGGGGGATAAATTTCTCCTTAAATTTGTAGCCTAATATAGTAATGATATCATTCCTAATCAGGCAGACATAAGCCTTAGTTTAAACTAACCTCCAATTTGTAAATTTCGAATGCTAGATTATAATATCAAAGCTTTAGAGTCTCATAAAATTGCAATTAATTGTGAATAATCTGAAGATAAACCTTATCTCTATTAAATGAAAGTGTTTTTATTTACTGATGATTTTGAAGAGTTTCAAAACAAGTCTTCAGATAATTCACTGCTTTTCTACAGCTTTTAATAGTCTAATAATTTAGGAGGATATTTTCCTAATGCTGAGATAATTATTATATTATAGATCATCGATTAAAGAGGCTCAATTACAAATATCCAATAACGCTTAAATATATCACAGAATCAAATCGTATGTACGAATTAAACAATAGCGCAATTAGTATTTAGGGAAAAAATTGCTTGGATATTTGAAATAATGATTAACCATTAAGACGAATAAAATTGCGTCAAATTGAAGGATGAATTATTAAAATATGTTGAATTAGGAATAAACTCTAACGATATATATGAATAATTATTGGCCCATCAAACAATGAATCTATACAAAAAATTAATACTAAAATAGTAGGCTTCAAATACTTCAAAGAGATATTTAGAATAAAATTATTAAAATATATGCTTCAATAATAAGTCATCTCTATTTATTAATACTAATTAAGAACACCTAAAGAAAAACAACACTAATATTTCATCCTTAGTAATATATTCTGAAAATGTTTAAAAATAAATAACAAAATTAATAAAATTAAAGGTTAACCTAGAGAAGTAAAATGAGCAACATAATATAATTGCTGATACTAAGTCAATTATGTTGACTAAAAGTGTAGTCTAGATGCTATAAATTTCAGTACATTTGATCGATCATTAATTTCTAATTATTTCTTAGAATGAAATTTATACAGAAAATTAAGAGTAAGTAGCAAAGATATCTGAGAAATTAATTTCATTAATTGATAATATTACAATACATATTAGTGAATCTGTCTAAGTGAATGGTAAGGTTTTATCGATCCAAGGAATGATATTGTAATTCAAATTGTAAAAACTTACGAAATCAAAGCTTAATGTAAATTTTTAAACACAAAATGATTAACTCGATTATTTAATTTCATTCATACAGAAGTAATAACTTATAGTTGATTACAATTACTATAATCTATCATAAACTTACAGAAAAATGCTTAAAATTTATTAAATAAATCAGATTTTGAGATTGATTAATATCATTACGTCAAATCAACTTTAACTAATTTTCTTTATGCTAATTCCTAAATTAATCAGCAAGAATTAAGCAGTTATTATCGAATTGACTTGGCAGAATTTCAATATTGTGATCCTTCAATCCAGTTTTTTACAGTTGTTGAATATGAATATTAATGTATAAATTATTTAACAGAAAAGAAATTTGAAAGTTGTGATTTAGAAATTTTAGAAATTAATAATCAAAGAGCACAACTGTCTTGTAAATGTAGATCAATTGGAAATTTATTTTTGATAAAAATTGCTCAAAGATCAGGAACTTAAAATAGTACTATATTAGCAAATTAATTTTAATTTGATTTTTCATCAATTAAATTAATTAATTAAGCTTTTCTATTTGTCTAGTGTGGAGTTATATTATCATCTTTTTTTGTTTATTGTTTCCTATTATATAAAGAGTATAAAAGTTAAAAGAATATTGATTTAGAGTAAAATTAAAGCGAAAGGTAAGATACTTTAGAGCGAGATTAGAATGTGTTAGGAAGAAGATTTTATCCGGGTCATATATTTATGTTTAAAGCAACATTCAAAGTAAATTATTTAATTATATAATAATAGTATATACATTCAATATTGCAATTTTTTTAAGCTGAAGAAAGGAATGTGAAAAAAAGCTTTCAATTTTTATAATTTAGCAATTTAATATGCATTTTAATATTAATATCTGCTTGGTAAGTCCTAGTGTCTACTTTCATAATAATTAATGCTTAAATTAACCTTATTATTTTATTAGGTGTTAGAACAATTTCAAAGATATTTGAAGGAATTTATTAGTTAGGAGGTAAAACTGCAATAGCAGTTGTACTACTGTATCTTTGCCTTCCTGCTATGTATCTAATCCTTACCATTTTTATATTAAATTAAATGTATATTATCAACTCATAATAGTGAATCAAATAAGAGTGACATTGATGTTCAAATATTTTTAAATCTATTAAGCTCTTTATTTCTAGTGTTTTTCATTTTTGAGCCAATCTCAATTTATGTAAGAATAGTTTTATACAGACCTTTCTATAACAGTGTTAAGAGAAATGACTATATTCCAATAAACCATTTTATTTATTTCTTTCTCTATCATGGTAGAATAAATAAAATTTATGATTAACTCAATGTTAGATGAATTTATAAATTATTAATTGAATAAAATATAAACTGTATATTTTTGCGACTAATTTACTTAATTATAATATTTCATAATTCTTGATCTGATTAATTAGTTATGAAGTCTTTAAAATAAACAATAAAAAGCATTAATTGAAACCTATATATAAAAGTAAAAATATTGTTAATCTAAAAATTTGTTCATCTGGTTTTGATGAGATAAATTAATTTTCTAATTAAATGTTGATTAATTCTGAATATCTATGCTGAAATTCAATATTATGAATAATAAAAGAAAATGAATTTATTTTTTTTACGAAAATAACTTTAAATAACTGTCTGATTTCAGAGGATTATTAATTTAATTGAAATAAATCATTTGCTCAATTTACTCTATAATATCTTTTCAGTATTAATTACTAACAAAATTCACAATCATTCCCAATTAAAAACAATTAAATTATTAAATTAGCTTTTCTTTAAATAGAATGGAAATTTAATATCTGACAGCGCGGGAGACCGTTCTGTCTGGTGGCGCACA